ATCATAATTAAAGAACTTTGGTCTGCTAATCAGATTTTCTCGATTAGTTAGATGTTAACCGTCAAGACGATTATATGATGCCCATTGTGAGTTGATTCCTTATCGTTTGATATCACAATTCAATTGGATAAATTTGATTGAATTAGCGTTCACTAATTAAAAAGACAATTATACTCTGATTCTTAATTTGAATTGTTTCCCAGATGAGGTTACAGACAACACAATTCAATCGGATAAAAAAAAAATTAATAAGCACACCAAGCATATGACTATCAACAAAATTCACAATTGATATAAAGAGTATACCAAAAAAGCTTAAAATAATTCAAAAAAGAAGAGAGAAGAGGCTGACCTAGAACGAAGGAAGAAGATGAAGCGCGAGAATCTCTTCAAAGATTGGAGAGCTAACTGAGTGAAGCCCTTTTTATTGTGAACTTTGGCGCTAATCATCCCCGTTTGGCGCCCTAATCATGAAATTTGGCGGGTGCATGATTTCCAGCCGATGGATTTAGGATTCTCCTGGTTGAAATTCCTCCTATTTACACAGAAATTAAACTCGGTAATTTTCATCCCCAATTTCCCCCTTTTTTTCCCATAGAAATTGGCTATTCTCACGCTACAAGTTCCCAAACGAGGGAAAACTGCTTTCCCATCCCAAATTTTGTATTTTAAAATGAAATTTGTTTTATTTTACCGTATCCAAACAGAGTGTAAAGTCTAGCAATTGCATCCCAGGTTGGTAAGGATGAATTTGGATACATATTGGCTGACATTCTGAAAGAAAACAATGTGGACAATTCTGGCGTGCGCTTTGATCCGCATGCAAGGACTGCACTGGCGTTTGTTACACTCAGAAGTGACAGGGAGTGCGAATTCATGTTCTATCACACCCCTAGTGCTGATATGCTTCCTCATGAAAAATAACTTGATGTAAATTTAATCAAAAAGGTGAAACATTAACACTATAAACCTGAAATAGTCATTTTTTTCCTTCAGTTCGTGACAATTTTTACTGATGCAGGTTGGCATATTTCACTATGGATCAATTAGTTTGATTGAGGAACCATGCAGATCAGCTCATCTTGCCGCAATGGACGCTTGTTGTATCCTATCATACGACCCGAATCTAAGATTGCCACTATGGCCATCTACAGAGGCTGCTCGAAAAAGGTATTATTATTATATGGAACCAAGCTGACATTATTAAGGTGCATTATGCTGTTTGGTATAACGGCCATACAGAGTTACCTGGTGTTACCAATTCACGTGTTATAATGTATTCACAAAATTGCAGATAAGCGAGGACAAAATTGAATTCTTGACCAGAGGTGATGATCCTTATGATGATGGGGTGGTCTTGAAAAAGCTTTATGATAAGATTTTTACTATCTATGCAAACAGGTGCAAAATCACATGAAATACTTGCAAGAATATGAGGATGTTGTAGTACAGATGTTCATGCAAGGTCGTTCTCCTCAAGGACTATTTTAATAATTTACGTAGAAACAATTCCTAATCAACTACTTAGAATTAAAACTTGAGAAAAGAGATTCTTAAATTGGGTAATATTAAAAACGAATTTTAATTAAAAACTAATATGACAAAAGAAAATAGTTTTAAATACCAATTTATAATAGCACTAGGGTTCCACCATCACCTAGCAATCCTACGAATTTCTACCAATTACTCATGACTTACACATGCCACTTTGAATGTTAGGTTTTCCTAATATATATTCTCCTCGTGATATTCAAGCAAGAACATATATCTAACATGCAATTCGTCTGTGATATTCAGATCAAATATGAACATGCAAGATTTATTAAGTTCTATGAAAACCTTTTGAAGAACCATGCAACCCCTAAGAGCGTGATATTCGCCTTAGATGAAATTACAATCATCAATCACAAGAAGCAATACTCAATTCTCCGGTGATATTCCGACCAAATTGCATCCAATTACTTGTCTAAACATCCTAATGGTGGCCAGTCATCAAGATAATTAGATAGTTTGAAACAGTGATCAATAATTCAAAGTGTGCATGCAATCAATCATAAGCAATTAAATAAAAATTACATTTTCATGCTAAGACTCAAGGCTTCACCCTAGCAACAAGAATTAGTTATGCATATTCATAGTTGAAATCATAGAAAATATTATTGAAAATAAAAGGAATGAAGGCACCTTAAAGCAGAAAATCCCCAAGAACCCTAGCCAAGTTCTTTGTCTCTGAAGTTGAATAATAATAAGCGTCCCCCGAAAAACTGTAGACGGCAAAGCAATATATTTGCTAAGCCATCACAAACCCTAAAACATAGGTCTCTTATTCCAATTAGGAAACTAAGAAAAATAATAAAATATCTTAGAAAATAAAACCCTAATTAAACTAGGAGAATCTACCAAGTACTTGTCCAGCCACGTTTTAGTCTCAGATCTCCTCCAAATCTGGCCCAAGATAGATTGTTTTTAAGATCAGGACGTTCCGAACACATATCCAGAAGGCCACGAAACCATCCGATGTCATCTTGGGCTCTGAAAACGCAATTTAAGTCCAGAAACGTCATTTTCCAGCACCGTGCAACCCTCCTTTATTTTATCGCCAGAAAATAACCACTTAGTGGAAAAATCCCAAAATTTGATATGATCAAGCTAAGTGACTCAAGAACGTCTTCCAACTAGAATTACTCCAAAATTCGTCCATTTGACCACGTTTTGCTCCAGAGGAAGTCGAAAGTCCTATATTGAAAATACAATTCAAAGTATCAAAATTCTTCCAACATATGAACCAAAATATACTAAAAATAAGGTTAAATATATAATATAAAATTCCCTTATCACTTTACCATCCGAATTTGAAGCTTCTGCTTGTAACTGAAGGGTCAGCAGGCTGTAGATACTACACAAAGGTTAACATCCATCTTGATGTAAATAGCAGATTGGATTTTTATCTGCAGTTAATTTGGTTTTGTTGATCCCTCTTTTTACTGTGGAGTGCAGGAATTTAAGGGTAAGGTTGCAGGTATCAAAGCCGATGTTGTTGATAGTGGTGCTGGTGATTCTTTTGTTGCTGCTATATGCTCAACAGCTTGGGTTCAGAAATCAATCTGTACAAAGTATGCATTTGCAAGTTTTTCTTTAGGGAGTTTTAACGAAAAGTCCACGGTACTGTTGACTTTAACGAAAAACCACATTTTTACACTAAAAAGTTAAACCTGGTACTATTCACTTTACCCTTTATTTTGTCCTTATCATTAAAACTCAAAGTTTTCAAGCTTTTTTTTATTAGTTTTCCTTTTTTTTTACCCCTAAACAATATAGATGGGCTGAGCGAGCTGGCACAACAAATTGGGCTTCAGTGTCATGCTTACCATGACACGATAGCCCATTTTGTAATCAAAAGTTGTACCAGACTCTCTATAAACTTGTTGAGCTATGCCGTATTCAAACGAGCCCAATCCTTTTTCATTCAATTTTTGAACACATGTCACCTTATATGGAACTGAAAGTTTGAATTCTTTTACCTAACCAAGATGAACAAAAGCTGAGAGAAGCTCTCTTGTTTGCCAATGGCTGTGGTGCTCTCACAGTGCTAAAAAGAAGGAGTTATTCCTGCACTGCCCACAAAAGAAGCTGTTAACCAACTTCTCCAACAAACCACTGCTTGATAAAACTCCCAAACACTGTACTTTCTTTTATTCACATTCATGTAGCAAAGCTTGTTGGATTTTTGGATCACCGGGCTTGCCTCACTCTAACGACACTGATATTGTTCCCAACTTTACAACATGCCTAATCCATCAGATGTGGGGTTTTATCACAAAAGACCTCAGTAGTAGTTAGAGTAGGGTAATCTTATTTAAACCCATTGGATTTCTTTGAACTCACCGATGTGGGACTTTAACACTCCCTCTCACATGTAATCTCATTTAATGGTTCACACGTAGAGATCCACATCGGTAATTGAAACTCAGAGGTCGGCTCACATTGTGCCCACTTGTGTTCAAAGAAACTCAACGGTCGTCTCTATATTAAGAGTTCAGACTTGGGATGTGATATCTAGACCTGTAAATGGATCGGGTTTATTGGGTTTGGGTCGGGTTCAACCCGACCCATTAAGTTAACGGGTCATCCGAACCCAACCCGTTAAGCTAACGGGTCACCCGTTTCACCCGTTAACACCCGTTAACAATTATTATTATTATTATTTTTGCATAAAGTTTATTTTTTGTTATTAAGACTTTACTAAAATTTCTAAAATATCCTTAACTAATGGATGCTAACGGGTGTTAACGGGTCCTAACGGGTCTAACGGGTTGATCCAAAGTGACCCGTTATTTAACGGGTTGTTAACGGGTTCACCCGTTAATGACCCGACCCGTTAACGGGTCCTAACGGGTGTTAACGGGTCCTAACGGGTCTAACGGGTTGATCCAAAGTGACCCGTTATTTAACGGGTTGTTAACGGGTTCACCCGTTAATGACCCGACCCGTTAAGCATCCACCCAAATACAAATATTAATAGGTTGGGTCGGGTCGGGTTAACGGGTTGGGTCCAAAATGCCAGGCCTAGTGATATCCACACACCCCCTTTTACGTCTCTCACACCCTTTTAATTTTCGGCCATTAGATCAGATGAATTGAAGAATATCAAAGGACAAAAATTAATAAGGGGTGTGGAAAAAGTAAAAAGGGGTGTGTGGATAGCACGCCCCTTCAGACTTTTTCCTTATGGGTGACAAGCTCATTGGCTTGCATGGGCCCGAAACCGTGGGCTCTGATACCATGTTGGATTTTTGGATCGCCGCCGGACCTGTCCCACTCTAACAACACCGATATTGTCTTCAACTTTACCACCTGTCGAATCCGTCAGAAGTGGAGTTTTACGACAAAAAAAACCTCAATATTAGTTAGAGTAGGGTAATCCTATTTAAACCCATTGGGTTTCTTTAAACCCACCGATGTGGGACTTTAACAAAACTGCAATGTATTCTGTATACAAATGCTTTCCAATGTTCTCCAACATTAAAAATGTTTTGTATTGTTTGCTGAAAAAGAAAAAGAGACGACGTATCCGTGATGACAGTCAACATATTTATTACTCTTCTTATCTTCATTCAACAAGTGTTGTTTATGGGATTTGAACTCATAACCTCCTCAACAAAGTAGAGATGCGACCGAGTAGCCAATTGATGATAGATGCTCTGCATGTGATGAAAGAACACAGTATAAGGACCAGATAAAAAGAACACTGGAGAATTTCAATAAAACATAAAAGATATATAACAAAAATCAAATAGTCCATATATATTCATCAGTCATTTCCACAACGGCACCATGATCCCTCTTACAATATAGTTGTTATATATTACTTGCAGAGCAACATTACAGTATTAATTTAGTGGAACAACAATCTAATGCAGATCAAAAGTCCAATCTGAAACTATAGAAATAATAGATCTGCTCAACCATGGCTTTTAGATTATTCACATCCTCTCTCGGAGTGGAAGCTAGCGCCTCGCTCTACTTTCTGGCAGTCCAATGAACAATTCAGTCTCAACATCTGAGCTTGTACTACTATCAGTGTAGGTTGTGTTTTGTCTTCGCTCGTCCAATGTTTTCCTTGGCTGGAAACTACCACACTACAAAGAAAAAGTGAAACTGTTATTTTTTGTTCAACCATTAACATGAAGTTTTATCGATGATAAATACGATTTAAGCCTCTCAAGTGGTAACCAAATGTATATAACTCAGGCTTATGGCATTGAAATAATAGTTAACATGATATAAATGCTAGGTTTTGCTACTTTAGAGAATTTGTAAATAAAATTGACTAGGAACAATCACTCATGTTTCTTGAACACAAAGAAATTGAGCTTCTTTCCTCTTTCTCAGATGCCGTATCTCTATATTCGGATTTGTGCAACATAAAGAAACACCGGTGACTACAATTACAATATACATTATAAAAGAAGATTATGATAACTTAAGAAGGGTTTACCTTCTCAACCAGTCGTGCAGTTTCAGCTTTGAGGAGTTTCTCCTGAATTTTATCAAAAAAAAAAAAAAAAAAAAAAAAACTTATTTAGTTAACTACCATAATCACAACCTCTTGTTGGAATTAATTGTTCTGCACTGTCTGTAGATTTCTTAATTTTAGCTACGCATTTTGTAACATTTAGTCAGCTAGCAGTAGCACAACAGACATGCAATTTTTTTATTTTTTAACTTTATGTTGTAGCAGTTTTACCTTTTCTCTCAGTTGCTCAATCTGTTCCTTGAAAACCTGACTCTGTAGTATTAATTACACACAAAAAAATAAAGTTTGTTTAATATCCATTTAATCAAGGATAAGAAACTGCTACTGTCAGAATCTACTGGTGCTTAATTATCTTTAATTCTCAGATAAACCTTTCGGGCTCGGACGTTGTTCACGCTCTTCTCCAACTGGTGCTCTATTTCTTGTAGTTCTGCAAGAGTGCATGATCCTAGACCCTCTCCCAAGAGTTTCCTGAGGCATAATTTGCAATTCCACGTTTAAAAAAGAAGCCTTTTGAAAAGGATAAAAAACTGAATATTTCGACGACATGTTAAGATATAAGAAAAGTTTCAGTCAAGGCCATGAACCGTTTTGATACTTCAAGAAGCTCTAACTGTTTCATCATGCTAGTTGCTTTTTGCTTCAGATGCTGCATGTTCCGATTTAAACGAAAACTCATCACCGAATATTTCGTGGGACTGAATTGTGAACACTTTCTGGGATGAGCTTACGTACCTGCATATTTTGTTCATTGGAACTGGATTTGTTGCCGGTTTGATTGCCTTTCGCGTGCTTCTGATATCGCTCTATGGTTCCCTGCATGCTGAGTTTATAACCAATTCCAAGTAATGATAAATCCTTCTTTTATATTAGCATATATGCAAATTGAATGCTTCAGCATGCATGTCTGTTGTTTTAGTATTGCTTCATAAAACTTTCCCTCTTTACACTATTAAACTCTACATTTCTGAAAAAGGTTGGTGACAATATATATTACTATTCATGAGCTACACCATATATAATAGGTCCCTATATCGGCTAACATAGAAACCCTATAGTTGCTATAATATCCAAAATGTTTGCATAAAGTTCATAAGTTAACTAGTTTGACTAATTTAGTATTCCTCTCTACTCTGTAAGTAGAGGTCTTAGATTCCAATTCGTTAATGGCAATTAGATATCAAATTATTATGACTTAGTCCATATTAATCTTCCCTGTCATTGTAAATATATAGTTGTATTTTTTTAGTTGGAAAATATGTTTTGTTCAAACACCAGTAGTACATAGGACATCATAATAAAGCTATCCAAAAGCTTACAACATAACAATCAGGAGTTTTTGAACTTTAATCTTTGAAGAAGATTAAAATTCAATAAAAATCTGGTGTTAGATTGGATATTGATTTTAATCCTCTAATGAGTACTTAATTCAAATTTATATTATATTTTTGTTTTAATATTTAATAGATATCTTATTTAATGTCATTACATTAAAATTAAAATTATTTATTATTATACACATTTTAATTCATTACATTTATTTTACTTCCTCTATTTAGTGTACCTAAACGTCCTTATTATAATATATTTTACTAAATTAGTGTACCAAAATGTCTGGACGTAAATATATGATACTAAATTTGTCACAGCCCGTTCCGGGATTTTATATATCGGGGACGTAAAATGACGAAATTACCCTTGACGGGTATTAAGGTATGTGTATGTGTGACATATCTTTTGGACTAAATACATTTATTTCATAAGTTTTTATAAAATTATTAAGTGGGATTAAAATGTTGGTTTGTAATTTATGTGGTTAGGGAGTTAGGAAAAAGAAATGGATGGTGAGGGGTTGTGATGGACCACACACACACACTTCCTTCCCTCTCTCCCTCCCCCGTGTCTCTCTCTCTCCTCCCTCACGGCTTTCTCTCTCTCTCTCTCCCTCTCGAATTGTATGGACAAGCTAGGAACCTCCCATTTCTTCACGGATCGAAGGTTCTAAGGTAAGATTTGAACTCCTAGTAAGCTTGTGAGTTCGTATATGTGATTTTTGGAAGTTAAAACCCTCAGAATCGTCGTGAAACCCTAACCTCGAAAATGTGCACTATTCATGCACACGTAAAATATTGCATTTTAGGGAATTTTAAGCTCACAGTGAGCTTAAGGAGATCCTCACGAGCTTCGGGGTACTTCGTTGGTAGAATTTGGACCAGACCCTGCGTAAAGTGGAAGCCTTGTGCATTGGGTACGACCTTTTTTTATCGAGCTTTCTCAGGTAAAATCTAGTGGATTTTAGACATTGAAACTAGTCTATCGTGATTCTACATGTTGAGGGCTTCAAATTGATATAAAATACGAAGAAAACGGTTGAGAAATGAGGGAGAACAAGGGGATTGAAAAATCCCCAGTTTTCCAGCCACCGGAAAACACAGTCCGACGAACCAAGGAAGAAGACGCGCATGGGGGGCGCGTGTACCCGTGCCTGCCCTGGTGCGTGGGGGCGTGTGCCACGTCAAAAAAAATTTCTAAAAATTTCTCGACGTCCGTGACGTCGAGTAGGTCGATGTGGTATATTCATATACCCAAATTGAGCACCGTATGAGAAGTTATTTCAAATTGTCGGTTATGTGCATTAATTAACGTTTTTATAGTTGTTTCGCATATAGGTGACACCTATCCCGAGGACGAGCGCATCCAGGGAAGTCACGGGGGCTACGACCCATCGACTTACCAGTGAGTGGGTAGTTTTGTTTTCGTATATACCTATATACTATTAATTTTCCCAGAAATTGAATTTATATGAAAGTATGTTTTCAATTGCCATGCACGCATATTATGAATATTATGAATTGATATTAATGCATATATATGTGTGAATTGGTACTGTGGACTCACAGGTGAGTTTTATGTTAATCATGTGAATCATCGATAATGTGAATTGTGTTGAGAACTATAATCTGCACCCTTGGTGTTAGTGCTTATATTATTCACCGCACCGCACGCTCACCTTGGATCCAAGTAGGTGCATGTCGTACAGACCCCGAGAGGGTTCCGACATGCTAGTCGTACAGACCACTAGAGGTGGTTCCGACTAGTAGGTGACCTTAGATTACACGCGCAGATGATTGATGAGAGAAGCACTAGAGCGTATTATTTCACCATCATAGTCGTACAGACTACTATAGGTAGTTCCGACTTATGTGCAGTGTAGTGCCGTACAGGTCACAGTTGGTGACTCCGGCAGGGCCGTACAAGTCACAGTGGGTGACTCCGGCTGGATGGGATATTGAGCTATAGAATCAGCCGTACAGGACCATTGTAGGGTCTCCGGTTGATTTATTATTTCACCTGATTTATATTGATGCATTCATATTATATTTTGGCATGACGTGGCATCTTCTTTCTGAAAAGCGGTGAAGGATTGTGAGTTGAGCTTTTGATGATATATATATATATATATATATATATATATATATATATATATATATATATATATATGTGTGTTTATATACTATTTTTCTGGGAAAGTATACAGGTTTTACAGTGAGGGGTTAGAGACGTTTTAAATGTAATGTTTTGGAAAGCTTTGGTTTTACTGACCCACTCTATTTTGTTTTTGCGCCCCTCCAGGTTCTAGCTAGCAGTTGGTGGCTCACGAGGTTCTCTTCGGCGTTCTGACAGACACCCTGCATGTAGGACTCACCTACGGGTGTTGTAATTTAATTATAGTCCTACTTGACTGCACCTAGTACCTACGCTCTGAATTGTGTGTTTTACTACATAACTCACTCTAGCACGCTAGTTGGTTTTTACTGTTAGTAGTTGGTTTTTATTCCTTCGTATTTATTATATCCTTTGCTTCCGTATCGCACTTTTGGTTACGTCACACTCACGTGACAGCCAGCACGCCTTGATTTCTAGGTCGAGGTGTGTCAAAATTAATGTACCAAAATGTTGGTACCTAAATATATTATAATAAACTAGTGTACCGAAATGTCAGTACCTAAACATATTATACTAACCTAATGTACCGAAATGTTCGTACCCAAATATATTGTAATGAATTAGTGGCACAAAAGAAAATATATAAAAACATGTGTACCGAAAAATCTTTAGGAAAATATTTTCTTATATAAGATACTTACCACAATGAGAATTAAAATTTATAATATTTTCATAAAATTTAATTTATGAACCATAAAATTATAAATAAAAAGAGAGACATTTAATATGCTGGCATTAAATAAAGTCTAGGGACTAAAATCAATTTTTAAACATGTATAAGACATTTTTCTAAATTTCATCTTATATAAAGATTAAAATCTAATTTTATAAAATAAAATATAAAAAAATCTGCGTCTTATAGATAGTACATAGTACATAGGACATCATATATCGATATATTAAAAAACCAAAAACTGCTAACTAATTTGCATTATTTATGTCCAGATAATGTATACCATATTGTAAAAATTGGATCACATAGAATTAGGTTATGTAATGCATTATGCCAAAAGTAGATTGTTTTACTGTTTTCTACATAGTTTCATATATATTTTGTTTCTTCTTTCTATGAGAAGAAAGGTATTCGAATTTATGACATATTCAATTATGAAAAGAGATTTACAGCTAAACTTAGATAGTTTAATATAGGATAGTGTTATCCACACTTATTTTCATTTCTCACACACTTATTTACAGTCATCGAATTCAATGAATTGAAGATCAATAACAAAAAACTAATAAGGGTGTATGGGAAATAAAAATGAGTGTGTGAATAGCATAAAGGATATATTACTTGTGAGTCTTGTTTGATAATTTAAAAAAAGGTAGTTTTATTCATATACCTCTTTTTACCTCTCATGCACACTTATTAATATTTGTTCATTGATCTTCATCAACTTATTAGATCCAAAAGCCGAATTTAAGAGGGGTATGTGAAAAGTAAAAATAAGTGTTTGGATAACACAACCCTAAAAGAAATCTTATTTTTTGTAATTTTTGTAGTTTTTTTTTTTCTAAAATGAAATGAAATCTTTACATTTTTCAAACAATACCCTAATGAAATGAATATAAAATCATGTTGAGAGAAAAGTGGAGATAACACATTTGTGTCAAAGTAGATTTCTGGATGTGAAATATGGAATTGGATCGAATCCGGATCCTCTTTGTGAAGATCTCGGATTCACTTCATCGTATCCGTTTATCTGTCATCTTATGACTAAAAATTATTTTGAATTTTATTATTTAAAATTGAATACAAACAATACCTGACTAAAACTAACTGCACAATGTACAATGAACTGAGAAAACGAAGTAATGAATCGAGATCTTCATCCGTGAATTGCAAGGAAGATGACGTGGTTATGATGTCAATGAGGTTTGGTAAAATCCCCATAAAAGACAAAATAAAATTTTGTAAATCAGCGTCCTTTTTTGTTATTTCTGCTAATAAAATCCCTTATTAAATTCTCTTTTGTCAACAAGATCCTAAATAATTTTAAAAGTCATACAAGTTAACCCAAACTTTGTGATTAATCCAAGAATAATTGAATTAATTTTAGTTAACCCCAGATCTTGTGATTAACCCATTTCCCTAATATTAATTCATTTGAACTTTATTTTTGTCACAAAGAAGGTTTTCAACTCCAAATTGCTAGCTTACTCTTACTTATCACTCGACTCACCCTCGCTCCTGAACTAACCATACTGCATAAATTCTTTTGCATCTTTTCCTACCTTCTATTACTGAAAATGAAAGGCAAAGAAGAGAGGAGGAACGGAGGAGGAAAAGGAGGAGATACAAAAGAATTAATTGGTTTTTTTTCTTCCCCTCTCATCTCCTCTACTCCTCCTCCCTACATCCACCTCATTTTCCTTCCCCCTTTCTAGTCTCCTTCCTTCGTTTTCATTCTTGGTTCTCCTCTAAGTTTTATCTCAGTCTTCCCTGAGTCGGGTCTCATCTATCCATGAGTTTGTCTCATATTTGGGTTTCATGTCCCCTTATCTGATGTTTTTCGTCCGCTTTTACTGCTTTCTATCTTTTAAGTTTCCTTCCTCCTTCCTCCCTAGTTGTGATACTTCATCCTCATCCCATCATATGCTCGGATCAAAGGGTCCGATAAGAAATTGGATATCCGATCCACTTCCTTACCTCAATTTCCCTCCCCCAACTGGCATGCCGGATCCCCATCGAGACCAAGTGTTGGATATTTTACATACCCCCTTAGTCTCTCTCTACACATATGATACTTTGTATATATTTGCAAGGGTTCTTGAAGGGGACTTGGATCTAGTGTCTACTTTCTTGGTTCCGTGTTTGGCTTCCCCCGAGGATGTCACAACAACGGTGGTGTGGTCTTTACTGTTGGAGATTAGGGTTTTTTGTTGTTTGTTTTTGCAACCTTCGAACCTAAACTTGTATGGACCTCCCGTTATATCTTGTTTTGCCGCTCTCATTTTGCTAGGGTCTTTTACTTTATCTGTAATTGTTTGTCCAGTTCTTTTTTGCCTTACACTAGTTTTTAATGTAATGAAAAATATCTTCCTTGACCAAAAGAAAAAAAAGGTAATAGGCAGCCAAAGATAGTGGAAGTAAAGGTCATAGGTAACCAGATCAAATGAGCCACTGCTACAGACTATATATTAAAGTTTACTATAAATAGTAATGCAAGGACTGCTACCAAAAATAAATAACTATGCAACTTGTTTCTGGATGAAAAGTAAAAAAGGACTTCCTAAATATAACCAAATATATAACCTAAAGTAATGCTAGGGAGATCGTACGATAAATTTGTAAACTATTTGATTTGTCACCGACAAGAAATAAGTACATTAATCAACATTGAAGTAATATTTCAATCATCACCAACGACGGGACTAGGTAGAGGGCTACACTGGGCTCTAGCCTAGGGGAGTTTTGTGCTCTAATTCATTTTATCTCATGTAATTCATTTTATCATTGAAAAAGCTCAATGCCATTGATCATACAACAAGCTTCCTTGATCCAAATGAGTCCAATGTTATATTTTTTTGGTTTTTATTATCATATGTTGGTTCAATACTATTTTTTTTTTCTTTTTAACATTATTCACAACGCTACATTATTCATCACTAACCACGTCATATGATTTACACAATATATTTAAATAAATAATCTTTCTAACATTATTCATAACACTACTGTGTGCCAAAAAGGCTCGTACAGATCATCACAGTATGCATGACATTATTCATTTTAATGATCTGCTATTCTCTTGCAAATTAAATAAACAATTTTTATTGTTTTTTCTTCTTAAAAAAAATTGTTTTATTGGTACCTCATATTTTACATCTCATGTACTAAAAACAACTCACACCTACTTTTTAAATTAAAAAATGTTTTAATACACCCATTATTTTCCAAACTACCCTCACATCCGAAACTCTTCCCATACACCTCACATCAAACCTGGATATTCGTCTTCCCAAACTTGTTTCCTCCAGTTTTCTTTTCAATTTTCATATTAGTAATCTATATAATTCTTCAATCTTTCTTTTAGTCGAAATGGGCTTTCATTAAAGCAGAGACAAAAGGACTCAAGCCTCACCCAAACGGACTCAAGGGCAACTATTGCAGTTGTATGTATATGTGTTGAAGGTCTTGCAGTTGTATGTATATGTATTGAAGTGATAGAGTTTCCCATTGAGTTTTCAAACTTTTACAGAAAACTTGTTCATTCTTTTTTGAAAAAAAAATAGTCATACTGCTTATGTGAGAGCATAGAAGTAAATTTTAAGCATGACTCAAAGAAAGAACTTGGGGGTGTATTTAGAAACTTCTTTTTAATTTTTATAACATTTTAGGGTTTAAATAGTCATTTTAAGAGCAGTTTAATATTAAATTACTATGTGAGGGATTTATAGTTAATTAAATTAAATTAAAATACCTGGAACTTGCAAATTCGAAGAGTTTTCCTCTGGGAGAGAAGATGATGAGGGAAACCTCAGCATCGCAAAGAACTGAGAGCTCAAAGGCCTTCTTTAGCAGACCACTTCTCCTCTTTGAGAATGTCACCTGACGGCTCGTCGCGTTCTCTATGCGCCTCATCTGAGTTTTTCCTCTCACCATTTTTTATGATTTAATTATATTAATTTCCTTCTACCCTTTTAACACAAGAAAATGAAACTCTGAGATCAGTTTTTTTTTTTTTTTTTTGTCTTTGCAGAAATCATCAAAACAAAAACTTGATTAAAAAAAAAAAAAAAACAATGTGTACAAAAGAGAGATATATATGAAAATAACTAAAAGAAGAAGAGAAGATAATTAAATCTTACCAAATAAGCAAAATTAACCCAGAAAGCTTTTTTTTTATATAGGTTTTGTGAGTTGGAGTGATGGTATAGATCAGGTGGAAGGCAATAGATCCTCTTCAATTCAAAAGGGTTGCAAGCAATCAATATATATATATAGATAGATATAATTTGTGTAAACAAAGGAGGAGTGCATATATTAAAATGAAGATATATATGAAGAGTAAAACAAAAACAGCCAAAGAAAGTGGATGCGACAGAGAGAGGGGCAAAGGAATACTAAAAGTGGGAAGAGAGAGATCTCTTCTCTAAGTTTTTTGAGCAAAGACTATGATTCCACCCTGAAAAAACACATATATTTGCATATTATATGTGTGTGTATATATATATATAGAGAGAGAGAGAGAGAGAGAGAGAGAGAGAGAGAGAGAGAGAGAAAGAGAGAGAGAGGAGGAGGAGGAGGAGGAGGTGGGTGTTTTGTGATTGATTGATTGATTTCGAAGAAAAAGAGAAAATCTTCTTCAGAGTAGTGGAAAAGTTTAATGAGCAAATTTACCAAATATGCAAACAGACCCAGAAAAAAGTTATGGACAAATATGAGAGGAAGAAGATGCCAAAGAAAGAAAGAAAAACGAGAGGGGAGAGGGAAAATACAAAAAAACCAAGAAGGGAAGGAAATTATAAGGAAGGTGGGTGGAGTTGATTGACCTTTTACTTGGGGTAAGCATAGCCAAACAACAGACCTACCTTTCCTTTTTCTTTGTTTTTTTCTTGCCTTATTTTTCTTCTTCCTCCTTCCATCCTCTCTTCAAACCCCACCTTGAAAAGGAAACATTAAATTGTGACACCATTATTTTTACACACATTTTTGTAGATCTATTCCATAACATATTTTAATAATTCGAACCGTTTATTTTTTAGGTCTTTTACAAAATATTATATGTATCAAAAATCATTGAAATCTAAAACCGTATGACCATTAAATTCAATTTAGGTTTCTTTATAAAACTATATTCGTCCATTTCTTTCACTATAAATGAATGTATTAATGGTTTTAGATTTATCTAATTTTTTGTAAAAATAATCTATGAATGATTTCTAAAATATAAAAAAGTTCGGATCGTTAAAATATACTAAGAAATAAATCCTACAAAACGTGTGAAAATTTGTATAAACAAAATAGTATCACTAATCCGCCGTACTTTAGTAGTCCGTTAGGAAGGGGGAAGCCTATCAAATAAAATACACTTTAACAATATAAAAATCGAAGGTTGAATGTTTCATCCTTTGCTTGTTTTGGTAACCCCACAAAACACACCAGAAAAAGAAATTGTGGACACAAAAGGCAAATACTACGAGAAAGCAAGGAACTTTTTTTCTGAAATGCAGAAAGCAAGGAACATAAAAGTGCTTGTTTGATGAAAGTTCTGAGAAGAAAAACTAAAGAAAGGTACTGAGTCTCTGGGTTGGTACGTTATTCTATTAATATTTTTTAGATGATGCTTTAAGGAAAGTAAATTTTCTAAATTAAATTTACAAACTAAATAATGTGATTGTGGAGGATTAGATTAATTTTTAATTATTGATTAACATACTTATTTTTTATTAGTGATACATAATTTGATTTGCAAGTTTGGTTTAAAATTTTGATCTTTCTAGTGTTACCCATATTTTTATTGTTTAGTATGTACTGAATTTTGTTTTTTTTAATAAACGATATTATTTACTCTTAGCCACACAATAAGTTAGCAATAACGTGATTCAAATTCATTTTTGGCGAGAATCGAACCTAAAATCTCTTGATTACAAATGAAGAAAAATATCATTAGACTATAATACTAAATAATAATTTACTTTTTTTATTAAAATTAATATTTTACACCAATTTACATCAAAAAAAGGAAAAAATTCAAAACGCAGTGTCTTAAATAAAAAGACCCCAACCACCATAAATATTCATCATTTTCACATTAACTTTTGATATTAATGGTATGATGCGTTGATTATTATTTGGTTTCTTGTGATGGACAATTAACTAAAGAAAGGCGCCCACAAATGAAAGTAAAGGAAAAGGGCAAAAACAGAAAAGAAAGAAAGTATAAAATATTGGAGGGGTAGAGTTTAAAATGGCAAAGATCGTACAAGGTTAGCAATACATCAACGTCGTCCGTACGAATCGTACTCCTCCAGCCAATTAGAAGTCGAAAACGCAACAAGCCTATATCATTAGTTGCCCTTTCAAAATATAATGGGTGCAGTCCCCACAGCCCACCACCTTGTCTGGCACATCACATTTTCCCCTTTTCCCCAGTTTTGGTCCTTTAACGTTTTTAATGCCAAAATAATAAATATATATATTTATCATTTGAATTGATGGATTGGTTGGGTGTGATGTCATGAATCAAGTACACCCGGAAAGCAATTCGTAATACGAGGAGCTACTCAATTATTTATAATTACTTAAAAATACATAAAATATCTTCTTCTTTTTTTTTTATGTTAGATTCAATTCAATTATTTATAAATATATGCAGGTATATTCTTTTACAAATGTTAGATTCATACTCTCTACACATCTTTCATGTGTGGTGAATTTTGAAATCTAGGACGTGAAAAACATAAATCAAGTGCCATAAAGCACATGTGGCCTATAAACTTCACACTTAAGACAATTTGTTTTGCTAACATGAAGAAAGTTATGGTTCTTATGACAATCTGTTTTCATAAGAACCAAAAGTTGTAACATTGCATTCTGGTGCGAAAATTAACTTAACACACAAATTTTACCCTCTTTTGACAACTGTAGTATAAGTATAAGTAGGGATCGTTTTAGACCGGGGATTATGAGGGCTTGCTAATAACCTCTAAACTGACTCAAAAACATAAAACTAAACTTAAAAATACTTAACAAGACTCACAAGACTCAAAGCAAACTTAAAATACTCAAAACAGCTTAAAACAACTAAATAAACTTAAACTAGACATTAGGAATGACTTTGGACGAAAATTGACTTTTACTTGAATCAAAACATTTAAAAACACAAATTACAGATTCTAACTAATTAGACACACCAAAGTAAAGGGGGATAGAGTTTTGGACGAAGTTGAAACAAACAAACAAGTATGAAAAACTAGACAGATTGTAAAATGAATTTGAGAAATAAGATGATGGATGGGATAGCTAAAAGTTTTTTCTCCACACATGATATGTATGCAAACAACTCGATTTCCAGTTACTACTTCATTGAATTATGAATGACAATGCTCCAAATTAACCATGACATCACTAGTTAACTCTCATATATTCCTTGTTTTATTGGATTGGATGACATCATTCGACAACCCAAAACATTCTTCAAAAGTTCCCTACATTACATCATAATAGAGATACAATAAAAAATCATTACGTTTAATGAAAATCATAAGCATTGACAAAGCACTTGCTACATGTGAATATAAGTTTGTAACGATTATGTGAAACTTCTTTATATTCTAGCAACAGATTTATGCATGCCAATTAAGTGTCGACCCTTAATTAACAAATACAAATAAGTTATCAATCAAATAGTTAAGCCAATTGCATTCACGATTCAAGAGTTCATAACTGGAATTTATCAAATCATATTACACACATAATCATGGCTTTGAAATCACCCCTAGCTAAGAGGGGTTTAGCCACTCATATTCACAACAAAACAAAAGAAAGAAAACACCTAAACGCTCTAACGATCCAAGTTGGACAACAAGCACGTCCAAGCACTTTCCTTCCCTTCCTTTGCTACGGCACAAGGTGTTGGTGAGTGTTTGAAGGTTTGTTTGTGTGGAGGAATGGATGTAAAGATGAATGGATATGTTTGGATGAAGGTTGTATTGAAATGGGGATGAATGATCAAGCAAAAACTAAACTATATGGTTGCCATACACACTTCCTTTTATAGAGGAAGTGCACGGCAATGGAGGGTGATAGGAGCATATTTATGCGCCTTAGTTAGCTAGTTCTTATGCATTTTCGTTATGTTTTCGTCGTTAAAGTAGTCTTTTGAGCTACTTTCATGTGTTTTCAGGCTTAAAGGGCATATGACATAAAAGGATGCAAATTGGAGCCTTTTGGAGCAAAATGGAGCTTAGATTGGAAAGTACATGCTTGGAGCACAAGGAATGGACGAGTTTAAAGGGCAAAGGAGCTTAAGAAATGAAGAAATGAATGTGAAGAACAAAGAATTCAGAATTAGAAACCAAAGTTTCTAAAGTTGGAAGTTTCTATTCTTGGAGGTTTCCATTTTCGAGAGTTTCTATTCTTGGTTTTGGGCTTTCTAGAAGCCCTATCTACAAACCCTAACCCTAGCCCACTAATTTGCCGCACCTAGGCCTTTAAAATTTCTGATTTCCTTGCCTTGCAAGGCATTCTAGAAGCCTAAACCCTAGCCCACTAAACCAGCCGAACCCTAGGCCTTTTCCCTTGCAAATTCTGATTGTTTTTAACCTATTTTCTGGTGGATTTGGGTTTCTAGAAACCCTAATCTGATTGCTAGGGTTTTTAAGTGCCTATATATACTCTCTTAAACCTCTGGGCCGAATCTATCACCCCCCATATCATCCATTCACTCCAGAAAATCATTCTAAACCCTTGCCGCAACCACCAGTCCCATTCTCCCTAGTTCTAAGTCCTAGCCGTGCCTCCCTAATCCTTTTAACCCTTCTACCCTCTTCCATAGCCATCCATTCCACCATAGCCGTGCCTTCCCACCACCATCACCACCTTGCGCAGCCACCAAAGGAGGAGAAAAGGAGGAGTGCCGTGCAGTCCAAAGGAGGAAGACACCTTGCACATGCAATCTGCCATTAGTGGAGTGTTTGGAGTTCTTTCTTTCTTTGTTTCTGTTTTCATGTTTAATTTAAATTGTTGTTCAATTATGTTAGACATGTGGAACTAATTCCTTTATAGTTAGAGGTGAATTTGAAGCCATGGACATATGTTTTATATGATTTGATTTCTTCCAATTATGATTTCAGAAATTGTGAATGTGATTTACTTATCTATTTGATTGATAACTTGTTTATGTATGTGGGTTGAAGGTCAACACTTAATTTGCATGCCTAAACTTGATGCTAGGATATAAGGGAATTTCACCTAATCGTTATTAACTTGTATTCATAAGTAGTGAAAGTCGCTAGTCACGATTGTGTTAAGTGAATCCTAGGCAAGAGTAACATGCGTATCCCATAGTTATGAATGCCTCGTCAATGCTTATGATTTCCATTGAACTTAATGATCTTTGATATGTGTCTCTATCATGCGTATTCCATAGTTAGGGTCCTTGATAAGAATAATTTGGTTGTAATGCGTATTCCATTCAATTCAATGAATCTAGGGAAATCTGAGAATTAATTGGTGCAATCTAGTTAATTTGGGGCATTGTCATTCATGGTTTGTTGAAAGAGTAATTGGAGATTGAGTTGTATGCATATGTTCATGTGTGGATAAGGAATCCTCTAACTAGCTTCTCACCATTCTATTTAATCACAATCTGTTTTTTGCTTTACATTTGTTTTTTAAAGTTTGAGTTTTA